GAACACAGCAGGCCAAGCAGCATCAGAGGAGCAGGAGGGCTGACGTTAGGGTCTAGGCCCGAAATGTCAGCCCTCCTGCTCCTATGATGCTGCTTGGCCTGCTGTGTTCATCCAGCTCTACACCTTGTTATGGTTTATGTTGACGTCATTTAATCTTTGACATCATAGGTCAGTCTCAAGAGCTATTATTGTGATATCAGTTTGAGGTGTTGTAGGATCATGTACTCTGAATAAATGTGAGTTTGCCCACTTTAACAGGAAGAAAACAAAAGCAGTTTGTTTTTCAGTGGTGAGCGATTGCAGAATTCCACAATACGAAAAGATCTGATACAAGAATCTCAAAACATTAGTAAGCATGTACATCAAATGATTAGGAAAATAGATGGAATGTCATTATTTATTGCAAAGGGAATAGAATATAAAAGTTGGGAAATTTCTGTACAGTTTTATAGACCATTGTTGAGACCACATCTGGAGTAGGGTGTGCAGTCTGATCCCTGAACTTGAAAATAAAAAAACTTGCTTCAGAAGCAGTTCAGAGAAAGTTCACCCAGCTAATTTGGAAGTAAATATTGCAGATGCTGGAAAGCTGAAATAAAAACTGAAACTGATGAAGAAGCTCAGTCAGCCTGATGGTATCTGTGGAGAGAGAGAGTTAAGTTGCGAATTCGACGTGATTCTTCGCAATGTTCAATCATAGAATCCCTACACTGCAGAATCAGGCCATTCGGCCCATTGAATCAGCATCAACCCTCCTAACAGCATTCCACCCAGACCTGCCCCCTCTCTGTAACCCTGCCTTTCCCATGGCCAATCCACCTAACCTGCACATTTTTGGTTTGTGGGAGGCAACCGGAGTACCAGGAGGAAATCCACGCTGACACGGGGAGAACATGCAAACTGCACACATGTAGCCGCCTGAAGGATGAAAGAGCACCAGGGACCCAGGTTTGATGATGCAGCAGTGCTAACCACCGAGCCATTGTGCCACCCCATTTTGGGCTCAAAACACTAACTCTCTTCACAGATGCTACAAGACTTGCTGAGTTGGTCCAGCACTTTGTTTTAATTTCACTTAAATAATTGATGAAGGGATTATCTTATGGGGATAAGTTGAACTGACCAGCTCTATATCCACTGGAAATTAGAAGAATAAGAGGTGATCGCATTAAAACATAGAAGATCTTGAGAGGATGAAATATCCAGAAGATGTTTGCAGAGGGAGGGAATAAATCCAGGGAACACAGCTTGAGAATTTCAGATGAGGCCAACTTTGACAAGGGAGCCTCTGAAATGTCCACCTTCTACCTCAACCAAGGAGTCCTCAGCACCATTGTCGACAGGGCCGTCAACCAGATCCGACCCATCTGCACTTCTGCCCTCACCTCTTCTCTTCCTTCCCGTAACAGCGATAGGGTTCCGCTTCTCCTTACCTACCATCCCACCAGCATCCACATCCAGATCATCAGACGCCATTTCCGCCACCTCCAGTGAGATGCCACCACCAGACACACATTCCCCTCCCCTCACTTGTCCACCTTCTGCAGGGTCCATTGCTCTAGGACACCCTGGTCCACACTTCCTTCACCCCCAACACCACACCACAGCCCTATGGCACCTTCCTCTGTAACCGGCAAAGGTGCAACACCTGCCCATTTACCTCCTCCCTCCCCAGTATCCAAGGGCCCAAACATAGCTTCCAGGTGAAGCAACACTTCACCTGCACTTCCCAGAATCTAGTCTACTGCGTTCGCTGCACACGATGTGGTCTCCTCTACATTGGGGAAATGAAGCGTAGACTGGGTGACCACATCACAGAGCATCTACGTTCTGCTCGCAAAAAAGACCCTGAGCTACCTGTTGCCTGCCACTTTAACACACCACCCTGTTCCCTGGTCAATATCTCTGTCTCTGGCTTGCTGCAGTGTTCCCGTGAAACTCAACACAAGCTGGAAGAACAGCACTTCATCTTCCGCCTGGGGATCCTGCAATCCTTTGGACTCAATATCGAGTTCAATAATTTTAGGGCCTAACCTCTCCCACGTCCTAACTCCTTACCTCACACACCAGGCCTTGTTACCACATAGCCTGCCATTACACACCAACTGCTGTTAGTCACTAACAGTCCCCATTAACAACTAATCACCCTCCCAGCCTGATCGTAATCAACTCCTTTGTCCAACTGTCTCTCTCTTTGGGCTTCATCCTATTGTTTACTCCCTACCCCACCCTCCTCCCTATTTTCTGCATATGAACTGACGTTTTCCCAGCCACCATCAGTTCTGAGGAAGGGTCACCGGGCCCGAAACGTTAACTCTGTTTTCTCCTCCACAGATGCTGCCAGACCTGCTGAGCTTTGTTTTTGTTACTGATTTGTAGCATCACCAGCACGGTTCTTTCGGTTTTTATTAAGAATGAGGTTTATCTTTTGAAGCCGAGATGAGAAGAATTTTCTTTCTCTGAGGCTCTTTCGAGTATGTAATTGTTCTCCCCAGAGGGTAGTAGAGACTGGGTGTTAAAATTTATACAAGGCAGTGTTGGATAGCATAACAGATCAGCTATGATCTTATTGAGTGGCAAGCACAAGTGGACTCCTGAAGTCCAATGAACCTGTGGTTTGCAGCCATATTTTTTTTCTATTCATTTGTGGGATGTGGGTGTCTCTGGCTGGCCAGCATTTCTTGTCCATCCCTAGTTGCCCTTGAGAAGGTGGTGATGAGCTGCCTTCTTGAACCACTGCAGTCCTCCTGCTGTGGGTTGACCTACAATGCTATTAGGGAGGGAATTCAAGGATTTTGATCCAGCGACAGTAAAGGAATGGCAATATA